GAATTTCTTTAGGCGGCATCCCATACATTCTTTTTCTTCCACAACAAAACCTTTTGGTTGTGCCATGTAAATATTTTCTTCCAGATCCCCATTTAGTAACGTCGTCTTTACATCCATCTGATGTAATTCTAAATCGTAATGTACCATGAACATCATTATAATTCTAAAAAATCCTTGCATAATAATGGAGAGAAAACTCTCATTGTAATCTTTTTTTACGTAAAGCATGTTGCTACAAGTCGTGCTTTCTATCTTTCTACATTCTATTTGGAGTCACATTTTGTCTTGTAGATTCATTAACAACCTACCGTTTTGGCTCCATTAGGAATTACTTCTAAGTCCCAAACATCGTTGATATTCATCGAATTTATTTTAATTTTATATCTTTCTACATTTCCTTTGGAGTCACATTTTATCTTGTAGACCCATTAACAACCTACTGTTTTGGCTCCATTAGAAATTACTTCTAAATCCCAAACATCGTTGGTATTCATCGAATTTATTTTAGCTTCCATAGCTTCTTGCCATTTAAACGAGTAAACGATTTTCATGGCTTCTTCAAATGAGGTGGGATCACCCTCCATTTGCATTTCTTTACTAATATAGACTTCATAGTCATTAGAAACTGGTTTACTAATTCTTTGAGAGCTTCTAGGGCCTCAGCTACTGTCACTTTCATATGGGGCTGTTGTTGGTCTTCATTGCCAAGAGGCAATTGATTCTATTGGCTCCTATATCACAAGATCCTTGTTTACCTTATTCATCTTCTTCGAAGAGCCAACAACAAGTGTTGTATTGGTAATACAACATCAACAGGTATTGAGAAACTTATTGCTCCTGAGTCACTAGGAGTGGGCACGCAGTCCCTCTTCTCTTCAATCTCTCTCAGCCCCGCGACGACAGCGAGTGAGGCTAGGTGATGACGGCACCGGCGCCGGCCCCCTTGCCGGCGCACGCGCTCCCCAGCGGGTGAGCGCGCCGCCGTCGAGTGGCCTAGCCACGGTGCCCTTGGCCAGAGCACGCGCCCGCTCCACGTGCAATGGCGGCTCGACGCTTCTTCTCGCGCGCCGATGAGGCGGCAGCACGGTAGGCCTCTTCCCCTTCCCCTTTTCTTCTCTGATTGGTTTTTGCTTTATTTTCTTCTCTGATCTATCTGATTTAAGGTTGGGGATGGGGTTAGGATCAAGATTAGGGTTAGGGTTTCCTTACTGTTCATCTTCCCCGAGCGGTTTGCATGGGTTAGGGTTAGGATTTCCTTACTGTTCATCTTCCCCGAGCGGTTTGCACGGGTTAGGGTTAGGGTTTGAGTTGCTTTTCAAAACAGAGACCCTTCTCTTACTTCTTTTCTTCACCCGAATTGGGTTTAGGGTTCGATGAACCCTCTATTTAGATCCCTAAACAAATCTATCACCTCCTTCTAAATGCTGCTACTCGGTTTTCTTATCCGATAGGCTAGATCTACACCTAGTTAAGCGTTTAATACCATTGAAGGAATCGTAAACTCTTCTAGGTGTAGATCAGTGAGTAGAACTTAGTTTAATGCATAAATCGAGAGAGGGAGACTTGGTGATGTACTTCATCATGCGTAACCACGGCCACAGTGCCACAGCGACGTGGCCGCTGGGGTCGTAGTAGCAGCGCCGCCGATAGTGCCCCGTCCTCTGGACTCTATCAGGCCTGCACTGCTACTACGATTCCAGTGGCCACGTCGCTGTGGCGCCGTGGCCGTGGTTATGCATGATGAAGTACATCACCAAGTCTCCCTCTCTTGATTCATGCATTAAGCTAAGTTCTACTCACTTATCTACACCTAGAAGAGTTTACGATTCCTTCATTTATGTCTATTAATTACCTTAATAGTTTAGCTTTTTCTCGCCTGGCAAAAGAATTAATGGAGAGAGAGAGCACGAAATGGAGAAACGATTTCTGTTGGAGGGAATCGGGTCGACCCTAGCACCAATGCACGAAGAAACGAGGCAAACGCCATTGGGCAGACACGAGTAGAGTCGAGCGGCAAGGCCCTGTTCGCTTCATGAGAACAATGTTTTTGTCTCACGACAAATCAATCCTACGAATCAGCCACCGTAGGAGCACTGAGTCCTAAAGAATACAACAAATCCACAGAGGTTTGCCACGGTGTAAGGTTGAGATAGCGACTAGAGGGGGGTGAATAGTCCTTTTTAAAACTTAATTACGTCGGCTAACCAAAACAAGTGCGGAATTAAAACTATCGGTCTAGCCAAGACTACACCCCTCTATCTATGTTCTTTAGCACCTTTCAAATATACTAATTAAGCAATTAATGTGCCAGGCTAGCTAGAGCTCACCTAAATAATTCTAGGAGCACGGTCATATAAACCTATGCCACTAGTACTTTAAGCGATAAGGGAGCTCCTAAACATGCTAGTAAGCAAAAGCATAAAGCCACCTAAGCTCACTAGCAATACTCAATAACAAGGCAACCAATGCCAAATTAGAGAGCGCAAATACTTAGCTATACAAACTAAGCAATGTGACTAACAAAGTTACACAAACCAAATTAGCCACGCAAGGGAGCTACTTCTATGCTACACAAGCAAGAAGGTAACTAATATGCTACACAAGCAAACTAATTACAAGAGCAACTACACAAGCTTAATATATATGAAAGTAAATGCAAGCTTGTGTAATGGGGAAGCAAACCAACAGGAAGAACAATGTTGACACGATGATTTTTCTCCCGAGGTTCACGTGCTTGCCAACACGCTAGTCCCCATTGTGTCGACCGCTCACTTGGTGGTTCGGTGGCTAATTGGCATCACCCGCCAAGCCCGCACGTCGGGCACCGCAAGAACCTACCCCAAAATGAGAATAGCTCAATGACACGCTTTACTAGAGTTGCTCTTCGTGGCTCCCGCGGGGCGAGCACAATGCCCCTCACAAAGCACTTCTCTAGAGCGCCGCACAAGCTTCTTGTGGGCTACGATGAAGACCACCACCAAGCCGTCTAGGAGGTGGCAACCTCCAAGAGTAACAAGCACCACCGACTTGCAACTCGATCACCTAGTACCACTCGATGCAACCTCACGATGCAATCGCACTAGAATCGTTCACTCACATAATCGGATGATCACTATCAAGTATGTGTGAGATGGAGGGCTCCCAAGCACTACTACACAAGCCACCAAGGCTCTAGTGTGCTCAGCTACCGGCCCAAGGCCGACCATGGCTTCTATTTATAACCCCATGGGCAAATAGAGCCGTTACCCCTTCACTGGGCAAAACTCGGGACGACCGGACGCTTCGGTCAGATTGATCGAACACTGGACCTCAACGTCCGGTCGTGCGATGCACGCCACGTGTCCCCTCCTTCAAACGCTGTTCACTGGATCTCAACGGTCATCTATCGACCGGACGCTCCAGCAACAACTGACTGGACTCTGAGCCTCCAGCGTCCGGTCATTTCTAGTAAGGTACCGGACATGACCGGACGCGTCCGGTCGAACGTGATCGGACACAGCACCAGCGTTCGGTCACTCGCAGCTTCTCTGCTTTGCCTGCGTCACCATACGTCATCTTGACCGGATGCTCACAGCCAGCGTCCGGTCGATAGATCGAAGCTGCATGCTCTCTGCCACCACTAACCAGACGCTGGAACTCAGCGTCCGGTCATTGCGTGACCAGAGTCCGGTCCACTCTGTGAGACCCTGTCTTTTCTAACTAGGGCGTCGGTGGCACCGTCGGACTGTCCGCACTCACTCCGCTGGTGGAGTTTCTCCTTTCGCCTCCATTTCTTCATCAAGTTGATCCACATCAACTCCAACTTCATCTCCTTTGTAAATGTGCCAACACCATCAAGTGTACACCATCATGTGTATGTGTGTTAGCATTTTCACAATCATTTCCCAAAGGATGTTAGCCACTCAACTTGCCACGCCACTCAATCCTAGTGACGATGCAAAGTTAGATCACTCGGGTGGCACTAGATGGCCGATATGCAAACAAGTTTGCCCCTCTTGATAGTACGACCATCTATCCTAAACCCGGTCATAAACTTCTCTACACACCTATGACCGGTGAAATGAAATGCCCTAGGTTATACCTTTGCCTTGCGCATTCCATTCCATCTCCTCCAATGTCGATGCAACACATGCACCAACATGATCAACAATGATATGATCCACTTCATATCATCACATGATCTTATTGGTTCATCGATCTTGACTTCACTTGCTCTTCATCGTTGCCATCGTCCATCAGCATCAAGTCTTGCTCAAGCTTCACCGCCATGCGGTCCATCACTCCAAAGCCTTCGACTTGCCCTTCACGCTTGCAACCGGTCCATCAAGCCAAGTCTTGTCTTGATCTTCTCCACCTTGATCACATGACTCAATGTCATGTCTCATGTGCAATAAGCTCCTTCATCGTCACATGTGTGAGCTTTGCAACATATCCGCGCCATCTTTACCTTCATGGCATATGTTGCTCACACACATGTACCTGTGGACTAATTACCTGTGTATCTCACATAAACACAATTAGTCCACCTAGGTTGTCACTCAATTTCCAAAACCACACAAGGACCTTTCACACGGGAGAAACCGGAACCAACTGAAAATCAGTTGGGATCGTGTTAAGAAACCAGTGAGTGATTTCCATAGTTGCTGGGTAAAAACCAACAATGTGTACAGAAGTGGTTATAGTGATGACCAATTGATGGAAATTGCTGAAAAGATGTATGTCTCTGAACATAAAGATAAAGATTTCACGCTGAAGCATATATGAAAGGTTGTGCGAAATGAAAGGAAGTGGTCTGCATATGTCAAAAAGATGGAACAAGAAAAAGAGAACAACAAGGGTGCAACAAATAAGAGGGCTGAAGTGGTAAATTTGGAAGATAATCCTAACATTCGTCCTATTGGGCATAAGAAGGCTAAGGATGAGTGCTATGGGAAAAGAAGACACCTGAACCTTTTTCTGCTATTAGTGAGAAGCTAGACAAGTTCATTGAAGTAAGCACAATGGCTAGGAAGGACCGTGAGAAGATGGCGGAGACGCAACAAATTATGGCAAATAGTAAGGTTGAAGCTGCTAGGTTGAATGATAAGGCAGCAGAAAAACAACTTAAGTGTAAAATGTTGGACACTTACAGAGAGTTGCTGTTAACACCGACAACTAATCTGAATGCTCATGCTTTGGCTGAGAGGGAGAAAGCACTGGAGTGTATATGTGGCAAGGCCTCATGAAGAAGCCAATCAGCGGCTTATGGATGACTATTTCACTGAAAATCCTATTTACAATTCTACAATATGTCGATGCCCTCGGTGAGTGGTCTCCATTTTTTACCTTAAGATTCAATGTTGTTAATTGCCCTGGGCTATCGCCAATTCAAAAGTGCACTGCTACTATAAAACAGTTAGCAAATGGAAGCCCTGTAGACCAGCTTGATGAGTAATATTAAGATTGGTGAAAGTACTTTAGTAGAGTGTTTGAAGTTATTTGTGCAGGGAGTGATTGCAGTATTTGGGGGGGGGGAGTATTTGAGGAGGCCAACGGTACAAGATGTTGAACGCCTAATGGAGATCGGTGAGCGTTCGTGGGTTCCCTGGTATGCTAGGGAGTATTGATTGTATGCATTGGCACTGGGAGAAATGCCCTTATGCATGGAAGGGGATGTATACTCACGATGATCACGGTGTACCTACGATCATTCTAGAGGCAGTTGCTTCGCATGATCGTTGGATATGGCACGTCTTTTTTGGTGTTGCCGGATCCAATAACGATATCAACGTGCTTAACCAATCACATTTATTTGTCGAGCAGCTGAGAGGAGAAGCTCCTAAGGTGCAATACTCTATCAATGAAAAAAAAAGGCAGGCCCAGTGCCGGAGGCTCCCACATGAGTGGGGTCTGGGGAAGGGATAAACCGAGACAAGCCTTTCCCCACAAAATCTGCGGAGAGGCTGCTTCGAACCAACGACCTGGTGACTCAGTGAGACAGCTCTAACCACTGCACCAGCCCTGCCCTTCTAATACTCTATCAATGGAAGAGAATACAATATCGGTTATTACCTAGCTGGCGGCATATATCCAGAGTGGCATGTTTTTGTGAAGTCTATACAGAAACCACAGTTAGACAAACATAAACTATTTGCATAAAACAAGAAGGGGCAAGGAAGGATGTTGAGTGTGCCTTTGGCATTTTGCAGTCTAGCTTTTGTATTTTGCGTCGACCAGCACGTTTGTACGAGCAAGGGGATCTTGAGAATATCATGCTTGCTTGTATAATCCTCCACAACATGATAATTGAAGATGAGAAGGATATAGAGTAGGTTCCACTTGATTTGAATGAGGAAGGCAGCACATATATTGTTCAAAAACCTACAATTTCTCATGGACAAAACCTAGAGATGGAAGATGTGCTTAACAGAAATACCGCCTTACATGATCGCGAAGCGTACAAACAACTTCAATATGATTTGATTGATCATATTTGGCAAAAGTTTGGGAATTCAAATAGGCAAAATAATTGGGTACATATCTAATAGATCAGTTTCTAGAGATATACATGTTTATGTTCATTTTTGTTCTCTATGTTTATCTTTGTTATCTTTTTTTTTGAAATTCATTGTTTATTTTCACTTGTAGATGATGCTGTGGAACCTGATGGCTTCTGGGGGACTTTTGCAACCTGATGGCTTCTGGAGGACTTCTGAACCTACCTGAGATGATGCTGTGCAATTGAGATGATGCCGTGCAACCTGATGATGCCACCTTATTATTTTATACTATACTATAATATATCATGAACTTTAGTTATTTTGTTGCCCAACTATATGAACCTACCTGAGACGATGGATGATGCCACCTTATTATTTTACTATGCATGTCATGAACTTTAGTTCTTCTTATGGCCCTGTTCGGTTTCTCTTGTAATCCGTATTTTTTAGTTTGTTTTTTCAGCTGGAATAGTGTTTTTCTCTCACAACAAATCAACCGGAACAGTGTTTTAGCTTGTTTTTCAGCGAAGCGAGTGGGGCTATATGTATGAGAGATGATGGATGATGCTACCTATTATCTTTATTTCTAGATTGCTATTATTAATTAATATATGGTTCTGGAAACATATATATGGGTTGCTATTTGATAATATATGGTTCTGGAAAGCGTGTTGGACTGCAGCAATTTTGCCGTTTCTTTGGCCATGTTTGAATCTCATGGCAAAACTTTAGACCTGCACTTTTAGCCTTTTTTTTACACGGGGGATTTCAAACAGAGGCTAAAAGTGAGCAAATAACTAAAAACTAGGTTAAAATTTTTTGTTCCCAAAGATGCCCTAAACCGGGCTAAACTCCCTCGGGGCGGGCGTTGGATGTCCCATACCCCTTGCCGCTCGCATGCATGGCTGTGCATGGATAATTAAATGAAGATAAATCAGTCATTGTAGATTAGAGGACTAAAGTTTAGTCCATGGATCAAACAACCCAGCAGTTCTAAAGTTTAGGGACCCTTGGACTAGTAGTCCAACCACCCAACCACCACATTTGTCAGTGTGTTTTGCAAACATGTTGGCTACTATCGTGTGGTCACGTTGGCTGCACAAAAATTTGCCACAGTTGATCTATCTCCTTTTTTACTACTACATTTAAGCTATTCTTTGTATGGCCATTAATATAGAAACAATGGGTTGAAGAGGATGGTTTCATTAGACATTAGTTACTCTTGTCCTCTCTTGAAAACTACTCTTAGAAACTGGCCATTGGGACTGCCCTAGTCCGTTCGGCCCGGCGCCGGATCGCGCCGGATGCGTACGTACTTCCAAGGCCAAAAATATCCTACTCTTCCTTCCTGCTCATCTCCCTCAGTGAGATCAGCCGAGATAAATTAACCAGGAGGCTGCGACTGCGAGAGACACCCTGCACCTGCTAGCTTGCAGATAAGGTCTGTATAATCTATTAGGTTAGGTGCTAAAAACAATGCAAAGCGGCACACTTAGCGCATATAATCATTGCGTGTTCGTAGTGGTTTTGCACTATATATGAATTGTGGCTGCGAGCGAGCCTGGCTTATCACTAGCACTGGTACGTTCATGATTACGCATTGCGTAGTGTTGGATCAGGATGCCACCATTAAACTATGTTTGTATGTCGACCCGAGCTCCTACTATGATGGAGAGAGTAAATTTGTTTAGCTAACAACTTCCCGTCTATGATTTGTGTGTCTGCCGGTGTTCTGGAATGGTGTTATTGGTCCGCCAGAGTTAGGTTTTGGCGGCAAGTGAAGCATTAGCTGTTGTTGTTTTTTTAATCGTGAGTCTATCTCTGCGTATTCTAATTTAGGGGTGCTGGGTTGACATATTCGAGAGGCCTTTTTTATGGGCTATATATGTGCCTATGGGACTGGGAGGTACCATGTATTATACTCCCTCCGTCCATCCAGAAAAGAATACAATTATGAGTTTCGTGTCAGTTAAAATGGCACAAGTTTAACTAAATTTATAATAAATAATATTAGTATTTATGTGTTTAAATAAATTTATTATGAAAATATATTCTATAATCAATCTAATAATATGTATTTTGCATTATGAATGTTGGTACATTTTTATAGAAATTTAGTCAAAGTTCAAACTCTTTGATTTCTCGAAAAGCGAGAATTACATTTTTTTTTGACGGATGGAGTATTTTGTCATTGTTAGATGTTAATCAAAATAGACAAAGGTTTAATTTCTTTTAAATAAATTCATCTCGTGTGTTTTGAACACAACGATCATGTAGTGTTAACCATATCTGAAACAGAAGGGTTACACGACTTCTAGAGACTGTATTTGCCTTTCAGTTACGTACATATAAAGGTAATAGACTTCGCTCGCTTAACAGGCCGGGAAAAGAAAATGCATCTACAGCTGGTTTGCTCTATGCAATGCACCCGCACGTTCCGCGATTTGAATTCTGTAGCTTTTGACCACAATAGCCAGGGAATAATGGGAATGTTCGGTGACGCGATTGTTCAGGGGCTCTTTCGGCCATCGGCATGGAACTTTCTGGAATCCGGATAGTTCGCGCACTAGCTAGCTCTAGCAGGCGAGTACGTACTACTAGCGAACTAGCGATCCATCAAACACGTGACGGAGTACTGCTCCTCTAGTCTAGTAGTAGTAGCTGATGCCTTTTTCACGGATGGTGCTCGGTACACATCGCCACCAGCACAGCCTTTGAAACTACGTACACTTGCATGCCAATTGGCACGGCAGGATCGACATGATTAGCGCGGTACAGGGTGCGTGCGCGTCGCGTGCCCGCGTGCCCGTGGGCGTGTGAAGCTTGACGTCGGGGGAAAAGTCTCCGCTCTCCGGCCTCCGCCGCGCCGCGCCATCACGCACGTCCGACGCGGGAGCGCGGAAGTCAGCCCGCGGCCCCACACCCTCTCGAGCCTTCCGTCGCCGTCCCGCGCGGGCTGAGAGAGTGAGTGAGAGCCACGTCCGGATGACCTGCGGGGCCAGGTCTCGCCGCGGCCCCGCCCGCCAGCCGGCGAGCGCGCGTCCGTCCGCGTCGTCGCGATCAGGGGAGTTTGGAGGGTGCGGTGGTGGGTGGGGCCGGGCGGCGGCTCCATCGTCACGCGGTGGTCGCCGGGCGGCGGTGGCGGGCCTGCTGTCGTGGACCCTCGGTTAAAATAATGCATGGCGCGCGGTGCCGTTTCCGGATCATGCGTGCCGAAAGTGAGGTCGCTCCGAGACGAGGACTCGGGATATTTGTCACCAAGCGTGCCGCGCACATTTATGGCGCCAAAAAGGCGCGAGTGAGCAGCGGCCTGTTTGTGTCGCATTTTCGGGAAACATGTTTAACGGTGGACTACCTCGTTTCCGTGCATTCGTTTTGTATTTTGCTCCTGTATACCAGTACTACTAGTTGTGCTCTCTTTAACTGTTAAGTAGTCCTTCATTAACTGAAATTTTCTAAATATTTTGAAATACGAAGTATACTAGTCACGAAAAATAGTGCACCTTTTCGATTAAAGGCGCCTCTACATTTTTTTCGTCCAATCGCGGAGGAGAATGTTGATCTGCGTGCACATGAAAATACCTGGTCCATATAGGACTGCTGCTATTAATTTTTGTGCGGTTTATGATACATTATTTTTCTGGAGTCCTTTCTAATGCAAAAGGAATATGGAGATTTCGCGAAGGTACGCTGTACGCATGCGTAAGGAATATAAAGCGTCCTGTTCACTTGACGTATAGATCGTATTTTTTCAGCCAATAAATAATATTTTTCTCTCACAACAAATCAACCAATAGTACTCACCGCCATGGCTTATCAGCCAAGCAAACAGGATAAGTCCCTGGCTGCGTATGCATATCCGCATATGGCCTGCTAAAATGCTGCCAGCAGTAGCTATCAAGGTCATGTAGCCTGTCATGGTCACTCGGAAAATCACAAAAATGGATGTAAATAGATGATTGTTTTAGGTTACTCGACAGTAATTTAGGTGAGCAATGACGTGCACGCGAATTGATGCAACATTTGTGTTTTGGACGGGTAGGAGAATTTCAAGCAGTGCCGTCGTTCATATTCATATCAGCATATGAATCGATTATCGATGGCCCTGGATACTCTAACATCGATGGGATCGGGACTAACCTCGAACTAACTCTAGCCTAAGATGTTTGATCTGAAGTTAAAATGATAATAAATGTGCTTTCCAAATCATTGGTGCAGGTGAAAGTAGAGAGAAAACAGTGGACCCCACCTCAAATAGCCTCAACTAGCCCAAATAATCACCTCTTTGGGGGGATAGTTTTTTAGGGTGTGCTAGTTGCAAATAACCCACTCTAGCCCTTTTGTTTGGCTACTTTAGAGCTATTTGAGCTCCAACTAACTCAAACTAGCTCTAACCCATGGATCCAAAGAAGGCCGATGTTGCAATGGGAAGGTAGCCGTCCAGCTGGGGACGGCACAGGTAACCTAGGATTTGATTCAAGTGGCGGAATAAACAACAGTACAGGCACTTTCAGGGAAGCGATAGAGATCCTTCCGAACCGAACCAAAGCAAAAGCTAATTGGAGCTAACAAGCTCAAGGAATTCATCTTGGCCTCTTGCTCTGCAAGGAGACGAAGAAATGGTCATCTAACCGTAACTGTCTGTGCAGCCCATAGTTATCCTCTAAGCACTAAGTTAATTAACCTATGCACAATTAGTTTTTTCGAAGAGAAAGCAAAACAAAAGGAGACATTTGGCGACACTCGATCCTTTTTTTTTCTCACGTATATGCACACACCAACACCACACAAAACTACGACGTGTGTGGTTCCTGCTTCCATATGTACTTCATCAATGTATACGTAGGACAAGGTCCTAAACTATTGGCCGGGAGAAACTTACAAGCAAGTCGAGCCTTCTGGATTTCTAATTCGTGAACAACTCAGGTGATAAGCTGATCCATTCCCCTTTCGGCATATGCAGCTCCTAGATAACACACACTGACCCTCCAAAACAAATGCAACAGTCCCTCGCGATGTGCATGATTTACGAACTAGGAGTACACATCTGCTTCCTTCGCATTGGTATAAACACAGGTACAATATTCCCAGTACCTGATTGAATGGGTCACACCGTCAAAGTCCGCGAAAGTCTAGCCTCTAGTCCAGCACGTAGCATGCCGCACGCGCTAATCAAGAACAAGAACAAAACCGTATGCGACTTTCGCAGGACGCACAAGCGCAGTGGACAGGGGTCGTTCCATGGGTTTCTTTCTCGACCACTGATTCAGTGCCGTCCAAGGTCCAGTCCAACCGAGTAGCTGCGCGCTCGCGATCTACAGCGAGCCGAACCGAAAGCAACGTCCGCGCTTGCCCAGCGCACGCCTCGCGATGCGTGCGGCGTGGCGCGAGCCGCGCGGGCGGGCAGGGGTCAATGCGCGTGGGGCCCGACCCACCGACCACGACCCTGTCCCCGCCACACAACGGGCATCCATCCTCCTTTTTCCTTCTTCCTCTTCCCCGTGGAACGCCCCGGCGAGCAGCAAAAAATCGGCCCGCCTTTTTGGTGCGATCCTCGCGACCACGCGGCCTTTATAAAGCGCGAGCCTCGCCACGGGGACGCCCCTCCGAACCAGAACCGCGCGCCCCATTGGCTCGCGCACGCACGAGCACGAGCGCACGACCGGTCGCCGCGCCCGCGCCCCGCTTCGCGCGTTTCCTTGGCAAAGCCTCGCTCCCGGTTTTTCTTCCACGCGCGGCTTCAAGCTCTCCTCGGCTGGTGCAGTTCGCAGCGGGCGGCCGGGACACGGCACCCACACACACACGCTTCATAGATTGCAGCTCGGCGCGTTGGAGGCAGGCAGGCAGGGATGGAGCCGGTGGGCAGGGGCGGGGACGGGGACGGCGGCGGCGGAGGCCGCGGGAGGGGCTGGAAGGGGAAGGGCGTGACCTCGGGCTCCGCCGCGGGCAGGCAGCTGGCGCCAGTTTTAGAAGACGCGCCGGCCGCCGCATTGCTCCGGCCCCTGAAGAAGATCCGCAGCCCGGACCGCCGCCTCAACCGCTCCCTGTCCTCGCTCTCGTCGGCTCCGCCTTCCCCTGACTCGTCCTCTGTTTCCAACCCCTTGTCGCCGCCGGCAACGTCGTTGCCATCGACGCGACACATATTTCCGTTCGCGTACGATCAGGCTCCGGCGGCTTCGACGGCAGCGGTGGTGCCAGCGTCCACTGCTGGGTCGCCGAGGCTCCTGCCGCTGCTGCAGTACTCCAGCGTGTTCCAGCAGCCTCTGCCGCCGCAGCAGCATCAGCAGCCTTTGCAGCACCAGCAGATAATTTCGTTCGGAAGCAGCGAGCAGCCGCACCAACAGTTCGGGGCGGCGGCAGCGGCGGCGGCTCCTCTGTTCCCGCCGCAGCTCCTGGCGCCGGAGGTGCAGCAGCAAATGCAGCTGCGCTACTGGAGCGAGGCGCTGAACCTGAGCCCCCGCGGGTTCCGCGGCGGGGCCGTGCCACCGGCGCTGTACCAGCAGCTGCTGCTGCGCGCGCAGGGCCCGCCCACCAAGCTCTACCGCGGCGTGCGGCAGCGCCACTGGGGGAAGTGGGTGGCGGAGATCCGCCTCCCGCGGAACCGCACGCGCCTGTGGCTCGGCACCTTCGACACCGCCGAAGACGCCGCCATGGCGTACGACCGCGAGGCATTCAAGCTCCGCGGCGAGAACGCCAAGCTCAACTTCCCCGACCTGTTCCTGGGCAAGGGCCGCGTCGGCGGGAGCGGGCGCACCAGCGCCAGCGCGGCGGCGTCATGCTCCTCCTCTTCCTCATCTTGTCCGCCGACGCCGGACGAGAATCACACGAAGCAAGCGCAGCAGCATGACGGTGAGCAGCCGTGCAACAGCGAAGCCAAGCCTCTGCTCCCGGAAACAGAGCAGGCAAAGAGCTCGGAACCCGAGCCAAATCCTCAGCTCCAGTCGGCCGATCACCAAGGCGGTGACGGCAACACGGTCATGTTTCAGCCGTCGGTGGCGTCGGGCGGCGTGTGGGGTCCCGCCGACGAGGCGTGGTTCAGCGCCTGGGGCCCGGGCAGCTCCGTGTGGGACTACGACATGGACAACGCCCACGGCCTCTTCCTCCAGTCTCGCTTCGCCAGTGAGACGACCAGCATGGACTACGTGTCCATCACGCCGGAAGCCCCGGCGGCACCGGCAGCAGGGACCGCCATGGCCTCCGCTGCCTCCCTTTCTCCTCCTCCTCCTCCCCGCAGTCCAACCTACATGTGGAAGGACTGAGCATCGCACACGATCTTCACGCGCAGGAAGTATCCAGGATGCGCACAGGTTGCAGGTTTTAAGAGTCAGCTTGTGGCATCTCGCGGTACGATCGCCATTCACGAAGCAGGAGCATCTGAAGGACCACCATTTTATCTGGACCTTTCCCTCTGACCACTTTTTTCTCCTGATGAAACACCATAAGGAATCCCAGCTGGATTTTTTAGGCTGGGGACAAGGATGGCCTCTATTTCAACCGCCATCCTTGCTGATATTTCCAATCCATGACTATTCATGATTCCAACATGATCTTTAGGTATTTCTAGCATGTTTCCTTGCTGCATGATCTGTAGTTGCATAGCGGCATGAAGTAGTGTTCTGTCTTTATTAGGGATCCCTAAAGGCTTGGGAGAGGAGACGGGTTTTATGCTCTCCTCTGCTCTTAGCTGAGGTTTATGCCTTTATGTTTTCTGCACGTACTGCATTGTACTAGTACTATGGTACAAATATGAGAGTCAATGTGCGCGTGTGTTTGTGTGCCTTGGATTTGGAATATATGTATGTCATTGGCAAAATTACCTTTTATGTAGTGTCAGTTTTATGTTTAATGAATGGATTCCTAGTTGCTTAAGAATTGGTGATGTACATTTTCTTCATATCCTCGAATGCATATTATGTCCTCAAGTTTAACTGATCAATCACATGAGCAGCTAAGAGCACTTTGTAAGTTTTTACAAAAGTTGCTAACAGGAAATCGTCTAGACATTGGATTCTTGTTGTGGTGTAACCAGATAACGAAGAGAAAGGTTCAGTATGTCGCCCAAATCTGAGCCCAGACACTGGATAGTTTTCTTCTCTCTGGCCCAACAACAAAGCCTATTTAGGTATATGCTTGTTAAATATAAATAAATCTATAACTAAGCTATACATGATCTTGAGTATGAAACTTTTACTACAGTTCAATCATACAATAATTAGTCCGCCATAAAAATTTCATCACAATTGAACCATAAAAACTGCAGCTATGAATTATTCCAATTAATTATGGAAAAACATAGATCTAAAGTCACAGCAAAAACTTTGTACTAAAGCATACCATATTATATGTTTACTGTGTAGATCTATTCACGTGGAGTCCAACAAAATTGGATTTTCTATTTTATGATTTTTCTGTGATTTACTATGATTTTTTAAAGATTCAACCGAAATAAATAAATAAATAAGACAAAACCGTCTTCAAAATTGCTTATAACAGTGTGAGGGAAGTTAGATAAACGGTTTTAAAAGTTGAGGAGGTGTTTTGCCCGGTTTTAAATTTCAGAAGAGAAAAAACGGACTTTCGTGAAAATTGAGAAATGTAATATGAACTTTTTACTATTAGGCCTTCACCGGTATATAGATTCAGTACTCGTATTTGGGCCTTCACCGGTATATAGGTCGAAAAGCTCAATTCAGCCCGGTTACGCACTGACGGGTGACGGGAGAATCTCAACTGAACAAGTCCACCTCCACGAGTCCGACGCGTTCGTTGCGTCGGCCAATCATGTCGCGGCCGCCGTCGCCGATGCTCTCCGTCCCGGAGAAGAAGACCGCCGCCGCCGAGCTCTTCCGCGACCGCCACTTCTTCGGCGCCGCGTCCTTCTCCGACATCCGCGACGCCCGCGCCGCCGTCGCCGTCCCGAACCCGCAGGCCCAGCCACCCGCCTCCCGCCGCGCCCTCCTCCTCCGCTACCACCGCCTCCTCTTCTCCGCGCGCGACGACCCCTGCGCCTTCGACGAGACGTTGTCCTTCACCTGGCACGACGCCTTCCGCCCCCACCTGAAGCACGCAGCCGCCTCCCTCCGCTTCGAGAAGGCCGCCCTCGTGTTCAACGTCGGCGCGGCCGCCTCGAGGATCGCAGCGGCCGTGAGCCGCGCCACGGAGGAAGGGGTGAGGGCGGCGTGCGGGGAGTTCCAGCGCGCCGCGGGGGCGTTCCGCGCGGTCGGGGAGATGATGGAAGACGAAGAGGCGACGACGGTGGATATGAGTTCTCAGGCCTCGGCGATGCTGGAGCGGCTCATGCTCGCGCAGGCGCAGGAGTGCTGTTTCGAGCGCGCTCTCGCCGCGGGGAAATCACCGCCGGTGTGCTCCAAAGTAGCTAGGCAGGTGAGATTTACTGACTGCACGCCCTGCCCTCTTCCTGTACATTCCTCTCGTTATGTCTCTGTTGGGGGTTTAACTGCATTGCGCGTTGCACAATTTCAGAGGTCAAATTCTTTGCAAAATGCAGAAATGCGCTTTTAACAGTTTATGCCTACTCGCTAATCGAAGTTTGATGAAAATCCTTTTGGGTATTTTAAGATGAGAAAATGTATGTTAAAAGCAAACACTGAAAAAGATGGTAGGAGTGGGCTATTTGTTCGTGTTGATCGAATGAGGAACTGAAGACGGTAATGCTCCGGTGCTCCCCCCGGTAGATTTGCCAGATTGGTCAAGAAATATGAATTCGAAATGCACATGTTCCTTTTTGAATGAACCCATGGGAATGTGATAGGGATTAGAGGGCGTAAATGTTGATGCTTTGGAAATTGGTATTAGTTTGGAGCTTTACATCAATTGCATTATCCAAATTAATTGTCCCCTTTATGAATCAGTTTCATCTCTGGTAACTCTCATATCTACTTCCACCTATGATCGTGAATCCCTATTAAAAATATGTAAATTCACTCACTTATGAGTAGTTGTGCGTTTTGTTGAATCATAGTAACATTATCCAAATAGAAGAATCAATCAATACTACATCCAGTCATGATTAGATGATGTCCCGCATAGCAAATTTGACTTATACATACTCCCTGCTTTCCAAATTATATACTTTTGACCAAGTTTGTTAATGTATTTTTCTATAAACTTAGGACAAAGCTAAAGTGAACTATAATTTGGAATGGCGGAGTAGTTAGTTACTTTTTGCTTTCTGAAATATGATCTCATTATGACTGGAGGGAGTATAATTCTATAGGACCATGACACTGTTCTATAATGAAAATGAATGTCATTTGATCTGTTAAATACTTAAATGATTCTGTCATTCTTCCAGCAGTAGCAGTTGATTCTAAAGTTCGATATTGCTCATTTTTATGTTGCTTGGATGCATATTTACTTCATTAATCACTGCAATACATAAAACAAAGCGAATCAGAAAAGTTGGCTAGCCAAGTGAGATTTTAGTCATTAGTTTACATATGGTGACAGGTTGATGCCTTGTTATCCTTGACAGATTTTGATTTTGTACAACTAGATATCTTGGTGGATTGGTGAACACACCAAACATAAAAGAACGAATCTTTGTAAATCCAATGTTGAGGGTTATGAAACATGTGTTATGTGTAGGAGGAATTACATTTTGAATAGATAAAGTAGAAGAGGATTCAAACTTAGGTGGTTGAGTGTACATCCAAACCATCGGTTCTAGAAGTTTGGGGATTATACCTGTTCTTAAAGCTAACAAGTTGATTGAAATATTTAGAGAATGTCCATTTACTCTTTCTGATTACTATGTTATGGGATGCATATCTTAGACAACATCTTGAACTTTAAAGCTTAGTTTGGTCAGGGAAAAGAAATTCAGAAAGAGAGAGGAACTTTATAGAGACTAAAGTAATTCAATTTTGTTTTATCGACCAAAGGTTAGCTTGAACTATATGGACAGTTCTGACTGAACAAGGAGAATAGAAACCAGAAGTAAATAAATGCATGATCCTAATTTCCCAAATTGATGACTAATATCTAGTTGATGGTGCTACTGCTATTTTTTGTGCCTTCTGTGATGGTACTACCGTACTAGTGAGCATGGATGACACTGTTTATCATTTTATTGGAGTGACAAAATGAATACATATGTTTGTACGTGGATCAACATTAAAAAATTCTATATTGTTTCTTGTGTGAAAAAACCATCCACCTCAGGAAGGCTGAAACTCTTATGTGTCTGGCTATATGCAGGCTGCCCTGTACTATGAAGAAGCTTATGCTGCACTTGTTGCTCCTCCGCTGCAGAACCACTTTGAAAGATCATGGGTATCCCATATCCAATTGAAGGCTGCTCTGTTCAATGCAGAAGCTTGCTATAGGTACACTATTGAACTCCATGGGAAGACAGAAATTGGTGAGGAGATATCTCGATTTCAGGTCGGAATTAAGGCACTTGTGGATGCGAAGCGAACTGCAAGAGGAGCTCCTGGACCCCTGTATGACTATGCTTTCAGACTCGAACAAGATATGAACAAGAGCATGGAGACAGCGAAAGAGTAGAGAATTATCGTGTATATCTTTTTCGCATCCCAGCTGCCGAATCGTTGGCCTCTCTACCAGCAGCTTCACTCGTCCGTTCTGCATCCTTGAGTGAGATCTTAGATCCAAAGACAGAAAATAGCACTCAATCTCCATAAATGGATGCTTTTGATATGGTAAAATTACGGAATGGTACGCATAGTTGCACTTGCATGTAAAGATTTCCCTCTATAGCAGAATTTGTAGGGTTGATAATGTTCATTATAATTCTTATTTTGTTGTTTTGCCTGAATCTAAATAGGTCAACAATTCAGTGCTGGTGATATTTGTGGAGATGCAACTAATATTTGCATTGACGTGTTTGTGATATGTTACGATGCAAGTTAAATGCACCGTAGGGTCCATTAATTTTTGGTGATGTGTCATCTAGATCCATCAACTTTCAAACTGTATTTTTTGGTCCATTAATTTTTTGTGGTTTATCATCTAGGTCCATCAACTTTTAAATTGTATTTTTTTGTCCATTAACTTTTGGTGGTGTGTCATCCAGGTCCATTAACTTTTAAATTGTATTTTTTAGTCCCTAAACTTTTTAACTAGTTCACCATATGTCTATACCCCTTCGTTTAGCGAATAGATCTCACATGACATGCCAAATAAGCAACCACCGTGGAGTAGGTAATGAGTCTATAGCTTCTCAAGATGTTCATGGAGACTTGTCTAGCAATAATTCAAATGTAGCAGCTGGTAA